TTGTAAATATTCAGTGAGAGATAGTTAACCTGGGCTATCATAGAGAAATGTAACTTCCTATATGAACTCTGAAATGTCAATTAACACTTGGGCTCTCCTTCAGGTAGAGGGCAGTGTGAGAGAGAGAGAGAGAGAGAGAGAAAGAGAAATAGTAGTAGTACAAATGGGGTCTACTGAAACCGTAAACACTAACCCACAACAGTGAGGTGTACAAAGTGACTGTGTGGAGGCGTGGTGGAGATCTGGCACTCGTACTGGCCAGCATCTCTCTCCTGCAAGTAGTGTACTAGCAGGAGCCAGTCCTCAGAGCCGTCGACGTGTCGAGCCGACACCCGGGCGTCTGAGGTGTAGGTGAAACCACCCACCGTCAGCAGGTGAATGTCTCTGTGTCGGATCCAAGACACCTAAAAGCAGGAAAAAATGGGTGATTCATAGATTCTTTGTGTGTGTGTGTGTGCATATATATATATATATATATATATATATATAATATATATATATATATATATATATATATATATATATATATATAATATGTACATATATATATAATTACCGAAGAGGTAAAACTTGCGACTTTGACTTGAACAGCAACGCTGTTTTGGCAAGCGAAAATTTGTGTATGCAGTGATTTCGAAAAAATCATTCTGAACCTAATGAAAAAAATATATTTCGTTATGATTGTTTATTATTAAAGTAATGTAAACTTAAATATATTTAGTTGGATTAGGCTAAATTAAATTGCACTTATTATAATAAGGTTAAGTAAGTTTTCTAAGTTTCTTTTGGTAAAAAATAAATTTTTACATTAACATAAATGAAAAAAATGTATCTTTAAACATATAATAGAAAATTTTAGAAAGGACTTAATTTTAAAAGAGTTCTTGCTAATTGACCAATTTCATCTATTCGGCACGACATATATATATATATATATATATATATATATTATATATATATATATATATATATATATAATAGACACGGTCAAGATACGGTCAAATAAAACTATGCAAAAGTTACATGTTAGTTTATTTTCAATCAAGACAAACATACCAGAATGTAACCTTATTAATATTACTTAGTAATAAATAATTAAATTATCCTTACCATCTTGGATTTTTATATAATTATTTATTTCACTGTTGCTCTTTTTCCTCTCGGAGCAAATCTTTGTGTTCCACTTTCATGTACGCAGTTGGTTTTATAGACTATATGATGCTATCCTTCCTTGGCTCATTTCCAGCGCTAAGGTAGTGTATGGAAGATAAAGTAGGTAGTATACCAGCTTTAAAATGTACTACCAGCTCTAAGGTATACTAACAGTTCTGTCTAAGGTGGTATACTACCACCCCTAACTGTGCCACCCACAACAGTCGATTAACATCTTGGTACATGTTAACTGTTGTTGAACAGAGGCAACAGGTTCAAAGAAATTTACCTTGAGTTTTCGAGATATTTTTCTACTACCAGAGACTGGCGCTAGGCCAGACTTAGTCTGGCGAGTGCCTGGTCAACCAGGCTGTTGCTGCCGGTGACCCGTTGGTTGCATATCCATCATAGCCTAGTTGTTCTGACACTTTGGTGGAGATATTTGTCCGGTTCACTCTTGAAGACTTCTACGCTTGCTTCGGCTTGGGAATTGAACCCGATTCATTTTGGTTGATGGCTAAACTATTACTGGTCGCCAGATATAAGGGCTATCAACTGCTCGTGGATCATTAATGCTGCACCCCTCTGTATATCAATATAATTACATAGAATATATAAATATCTCAATGTACAATACAGTGAAACTTCGGTGTTCGAACGTACCAGGCCTCGAACAAGCAAAAGAACGAACAATTTTGTTCAGAAAAAATTGACCAGGTCTTCGAAGGATTTTTCTGGAGACCGAGAGTGTTGACATGTTTAAAATTTAGTTGTAAAAAAACAAAACAAACAAAAAAATCCACTAAAGGCCTCTTTCAAAAGTGCTTTCCAGTGACTCACGAAATCGTAATGACACGACTGCAAACCATAAGACGGGTGGGGTTTAAACCCGCGATCAGTCTCTAACAACCCCAGACCGTCGCATTAGCCACTGGGCCAGCTAGCTAGCAGTGACCTCTGACACCAATCTAACTCCCAGAGACTTTTGGAAGAGTCAGTTCATCTTCCAGTGTATGAGGCTGATGACTTAAGCCTGGGAAATACTGTTTCGGACATCGAACTTTTGCAGTTCGAACACCACCTAGGAACCAATTAAGTTCAAACACCGGGGATCCACTGTACTTACATTTAGAGATATACAGCAATAAGTAACCTGTAAAACAAAAGAAAATGGGGGGAACGTTATCTTTATCTGCATAAATACATCCAAACCTAGAATGTGCAAGGAATGCGTGAGACACACAGATTGGACGAGTAAAAATGTAAATTCCACAAGGAAATTAAATATCTAAGTCATACTTAAAACGAAATCGGCAACGAAGAAAAAGAAAACGAGCTGCGGAGCAGAGAAAACGAGGATAATAAACATCGACAGAATTAAAAGAGGAAAAAATATGGAAAGAGATGAGAGGTAGTAAAGAGAATTCCAGCTAAGAGTCTCTCAATATAAGGAAAGCTTTTCAGAAGTTAGGACAAAAGTTTTTTTTATAATATATACCTTAACACAGACTGTTCGTATTGTTAATCTACATTTTTTATTATTCTTTCATCAGCTGATGTTGTTGGTTATGAAGCAGTTTACATAAAATAAACGTTTTCGTATGAAAAAATAAAACTACTCAATGGAAAGTAATTATACTCTGAGTAACACAGGTTATATACAGTGAGAGGCGTTTGCCTGTCTCTGTATGTTCACAAAGTTTAATCTCCGCTTTATAGTTTAAACTATCCTTTACTAGTGTACAGGTTTGATGTACCGTATTTTCCGGCATATAAGGCGCGTTTTTTTTTACAGAAAATGGGTTGGAATTCACCCTGCGCCTTATATGGTCAGGGTCAAGGGTCGGTTTTGGGTTACGTTTTAGCAGTTGTTTACTAACATTACGTTACAATTGCTTGGTAACAGTGTCTTATATGTCTCATATGCTCATGCGCCTTATATGCCGGAAAATACGGTAGTCAGACTCTCGTTTAAAACTTATACACTAACCAACACAGCAAGTAAAAATATTTGCAATTCACAAACAGCAATTTTAGGAGCCACAGATGGACAACAATAAAATATAGCCACCCAAAGCACGTAACTACTGCTGCTCCACATCAAGTAAAGTTAGCAACCCCACATAAATGATTATAATTATAACCATTATTATTTTTAAAGGGGTGGACCTGTAAGCCAGCGGAAGGCCTCGGTCAGATAACCAAAAGCTCCAGTGGCGGATCATCATACGAGACCCGCGCGTCAATAACACTTGTCCTGTTCCCTGAAGAATCTTAACTAACTTATCCTAAGCAACCTCACAGCATGCAACTTTACCAACCTCACAGCATGCAACTTTACCAACCTCACAGCATGCAACTTTACCAGCCTCACAGCATGCAACTTTACCAACCCCACAGCATGCAACTTTACCAACCCCACAGCATGCAACTTTACCAACCCCACAGCATGCAAATTTACCAACCCCACAGCATGCAACTTTACCAACCCCACAGCATGCAACTTTACCAACCCCACAGCATGCAACTTTACCAACCCTACAACATCCAACTTTACCAACCCCACAGCATCCAACTTTACCAACCCCACAGCATGCAACTTTACCAACCCCACAGCATGCAACTTTACCAACCCCACAGCATGCAACTTTACCAACCCCACAGCATACAACTTTACCAACCCCACAGCATGCAACTTTACCAACCCTACAACATCCAACTTTACCAACCCCACAGCATGCAACTTTACCAACCCCACAGCATGCAACTTTACCAACCCCACAGCATCCAACTTTACCAACCCCACAGCATGCAACTTTACCAACCCCACAGCATGCAACTTTACCAACCCCACAGCATGCAACTTTACCAACCCCACAGCATGCAACTTTACCAACCCTACAGCATCCAACTTTAACCAACCCCACAGCATCCAACTTTACCAACCCCACAACATCCAACTTTACCAACCCCACAGCATCTAACTTTACCAACCCACAGCATGCAACTTTACCAACCCCACAGCATCCAACTTTACCAACCCCACAACATCCAACTTTACCAACCCCACAGCATCTAACTTTACCAACCCCACAGCATGCAACTTTACCAACCCCACAGCATCCAACTTTACCAACCCCACAGCATCCAACTTTACCAACCCCACAGCAACTGACTGAAGTCACAGACCCACGGCAAATATCTATCACTCTTACCCCATCCCCCTCCAGTAGAAACACAAATAACATCCTCGCAACAAAAACACACACTCAAAACAAGTAAAGGCAGCAGTTCAACAACAAAACAGCAATGACCACACATCCAGAGCAAGTACAGATGACAGTTCCACGGCAAAAGCAATAACATCGCAATAACAACACCAGAAGAACCAGCACAGCAAAGGGATTAAACCGACGTGCTTAGTCGGTAGCTACAACACCTCAGAGCAATATAAAACACACGTAATAAAACATGTTTTTTTTTAAGACAAACATATAAAACCAGGTCAGGATTGCATAATGATAATGAGCAGGAAATGTGCTCTCCCATCAACATTTATTTCTTCTCCATCGTCATACAAGAAAATATAAATTACATCCCTGGAATTGATAATTATAAAGGGTCTGCAGAGAATAAATTAAATAATACATTGATATTACTGAATTTAATAATGCTTTATCATGTCTCGGAGGAAACGCAATCTAATTAAAAAAAACTCTACACTCTAGGTGTATTTGCAGTTTGGTTTTTTCCAAACAAGTCAGTTTTACAGGCTAAGGACTGCTATCTTTCCTCAGCTCATTTTAAGGCCCAGCCCTACCTAAGGTATACTACCACCCTCCGAGATGCAACCGAAACCAGTCGGCTTACACCCAGGTACATACATACTGTTATGTGAACAGGGGCAGCAAGTATAAGGAAACATGCCCAACGTTTTCACCCTTATCGGAGATCGAACCACGGACACTCACTATGTAAGCTGTAATGTCAAAGAGCGATACCCGACAAAAAAACCACATCGGATACAACGGCTACGTAAACCTGCTATACACCGACAGAAAAAAAAACCGCTATATTAAGAAAAACATCGCTCGCATTTTCGACACACAAGTGAAGCATTTCATATTAGGGTAGATCACTGAACCACCACACGCAAGACGTTATCAACCCTCACACTATGTGCTTCAAAATCAATCCACATCACAATACCCAGGATCCTATTTTAAATCACAAATCGACTACATTCATACACCCACATCATGCTCGTGCCACAATCTCCCAAATTCTGTAATAGAGCGATACTTGCTTTCCTTTCCTTTTCTCTTGGAAAGAAGGCAGCACCCATCCCACATAAAAGACAACTGTCACACTAAAAGCTGTATTTCAATGGAGTGCATTAAACCATGGTAATAAATTTTCCTGTGTATTCTCCCACGCCATCTAGGTAAACTTCATATGTACTTCTCAAAACCCAATGTCTCCTTCCTTTTCCGAAAACCTCTAAGTGGGATCTCATTCTCTCTCTCTCTCTCTCTCTCTCTCTCTCTCTCTCTCTCTCTCTCTCTCTCTCTCTCTCTCTCTCTCTCTCTCTCTCTCTCTCTCTCTCTCTCTCTCTCTCATTCAAGAGACACCAGACATTCTTCATTATTATTCATTGGTACTATTAATCCCCCAAACAATGCTCTGTAATTCAGATTCATTTTGCAGCATTTATCACGGCAAATGACCCGGCTGACCCACCAAAGATCGCTTTTCAGTGTTATTCACGATATAATGTAGAATATGAAGGATCGTGAGCAAGGTTATCACCCTTAAGATATAAATAAACATTATATATATATATATATATAATATATATATATATATATATATATATATATATATATATATAATATTTATTTTATATTTATTTATTTACTGTTGAGGAGGCACCTGTTCATTGATGAATTCATGGATTTTTCAATGTCCAAAAATTGTAATTTTTATGTTAGTGGTAGTAAGAATTTAATGAGTAATAATCCTAATTAAAAAATTTTATACTGATGTAAGGAAATAGTCATTCCCACATTGATTTAATTGTAAATAGGCTAAAAAAGTTATTAAATGTCCCACTGAAAATGATGGAAACATTTTAAATTATGTTAGTTTATTAATTACATTATTATAATCATGGGGAGCGCTAAACCCGTAGGATTAGTATATTAATTATATTCGCTTTCATACAATCCGCCTACAGTAACATCTTATACTGCCATACAATAAATATAATCACACACAAAATTAAGGACAATATATAAGGAACTTAATAAGCTTCCTTCAGAAAGAAAAAAAGAAGAAAGACTTCCGTTACGCAGTTTACAAGCAGCGTACGAAATGGATTTTAAATAATTTCGATTTTTTTTCTCGACGCTGCTAAGCAATTTCTCCATTGTTTTGAGCCGTGCCTTATTATTTACAAAGTTTTTGTCGATTATTTAGTGAAAGTTTGGAAAATATTGAGTTTATCTGCTTGGTTGACTATGGTGAAGCGTGTTAGTTAATCAGCATATAGTTAGAAGTGGAAGCAATTAGCTTTTGTGATTTGACGTGCTGTTGGAGTGTGAGCAGGATAATACCTATGAAGATATCCAGACACACCAGTTAGCCGATCTGCTCAGACCCTGAGCCGCGATTAGCCGACAAAGATTGAGCTTCTATTAAACCTTGCTCTGAAATGACTCACACGGGTTTAGCACTATATATATATATATATATATATATATAATATATATATATATATATATATATATATATATTATATATATATATATATATATATATATATATATATAATATATTATTATATATATAATTATATATATATATAAAGCTAACATCCATTTCCACTCTGTCGGAGTGTGACAGCGTTACCTTTCACTGGCACCTGGTGTTACAGTCAATTATTGACACGTTCGAAACTAACTGGACCTGTCAAGCGACCCCTGTCGAACAAGGAGCAGCACCGGTCATGTGTCAACAGTTATGATGCCTGTCACAAGCACCAGACACAGAGGGGTGCATGCAAATCAGATTCGTCTCTTTGTCATCATAAATTTAATTAGTGTCTGTGGGGAGGCGAGGAGCGAGTGTTCATTCTTAGTATTCTTGGCATAATGGTAGTATAGTAAATATGCAAGTAGCATGTATGTATATATATATATATATATATATTAATAATATATGTGTGTGTGTTTGCGAGAGAGAGAAAGAGATAGAGAGAGCCCTCTGAAGGTTAATCTCTCTATCTCTCTCTCTCTCTCTCTCTCTCTCTCTCTCTCTCTCTCTCTCTCTCTCTCTCTCTCTCTCTCTCGTGATAGTCGAGAACCAAATGCCCAGGAAACGAGGGGTCAGAGCGATTTGTAGTCTGAGAATCGCCTTTTCAGCCGAGTCTTTTACAACTTCCTTCCTTCATTGAATGAAGAAAAAAATAATGTCTTCCTCAATCTTTCTCTGATATCTTCCTTCTCTCGTTCCTCCTCGCACATTTTCCGAATATTCTATTTGCTGGTGTTGTTGTTAATGTCTCATGTGTTCTTGTTTCTCTTTGTTGGTGTTCATGTGTTCTTTGGCGTTCGTACTTTGTTCTCTCTGTTGCTCTTATGTTTTTTAACTATTTTTTGTCGAGAGATTTTATTAGTGAAATAAGAAACCTGAAATATTAACAATTATACCAAATTTGCTTGCAATAAAATATAACTTGTTAATGTGTAACTAGATTTACTCTCGTTAATCGTTTTTCTCGGCCTAGTTCTTAGGCCTATTGTTTGCTATAAGCCTATGAGCTACAATCTAAGTGATGTATATAGGTTGTACAATAAACGTGCCGCTTCGGCGGCAAAAAATCTATAAAATACATCAAAAAGATACACTAAAACTAGTTTCCAATAAACAATGCAACAAAATAATACACTAAACAATAGTTAAAATCTAAAAAAAATAGAACCTCTGTTAAAGTTGCTCACCGTATTGTTGCCGATGTTTTTAACTCGGCAGTTGAGGACGGCAGTCTTGCCCAAGAGGCCGGTGACATTGAGCGACTCTTGGTACACGAAGTAAGGCTGAGAGGAACGAAGGCTGAGGTGTGAGCCTTGCTCTTCCATCCCAGCAACCACCACTCTCTGGGACCTGGCAGCGTCGCCCACTGACACCACTACCAGAGCTGTCGGCACAAATGGAATGGTTGATGCGGGAGAGAGATGCGCCTTGCAGGATATAGGAAAGTAGGGGCAGACTGCAGATAGGAGGACATATCTTAGAAAATGAAAGAGAGAGAGAGAATATAAATATTTTACTAATATCTGTGTTAGAGCTAAATCACAGCCTCGGCAGTAAGACCACACACAATGCCAGTGTTACCAAAACCATCATCAGGGCTGAGCGACTCGGCTGGGGATCACTAGGTCAATAGTGTCGATAAATTTTTACCACCCCGCGGCTCCAAGAGAGAGGGGGGAAAGAGAGAGGGAGGGGGAGAGTGAGGTATGGAAGGAGGGAAAGACGCCAGAAAGTCGATTCTGAGACGAGGAGGTAGTGGAAGCAAACACCATACAGTTTTAGGGATAAGTCAACACTTCTCACCAAGCATGAAACTTGTGAAGTAAGTTAACTGCGAGAAAGGACATAATTAGGACTCTCAGGACATCTAAGTGTTCTTTCACTGTCAGTTTCGTTATACCTTCTACTTTTAGTAACATGCGTTTACTGTTGCAGATATTGCAGAGCAGCTGAAACTCAACTATATGTACACACTTATCAACCAGTGCCCGGAATATTTTGCAGTAAATTTTGTGACGGTAAGGAAGCAAAGCCAGTATGGTATTAGTTGAAGCGAACACAGTAGTATCCACAGCAGGTGGCAAGGACTCGAGCACTTATTACACTCTGATAAAGATATGGAAAAGGATTCTTTATCATGTCAAGACAAGTCTTAATGTAAAACAATTTAAGAAGAGAATCAAAGACTTTGTAAATGGTCCAAGTCGGACCGAAACATCGTGATAAGCTCCTCTCTCCTATTTCCGGGTTATTTGTGTATTGTTCCAGTCACGGTATTGTGATTTTTATTTATTTATGAATAAATCTACTGTAAGGAAGGGTAGTGATTTCTCATATTGTTATAATAGCAATTTCTTGAACTGTTAAGACTCATAATTTTGTATAATTTTTGGGTTAGGTTAGGTAGGTTCGTCAGGAAACTGAACAAGTGTTCCCTGATACGAGTCTTAGTCATATTGAGAATATGACAGCATTTATATATTCCTATGTTAAAATAAATATATAAACATATAACAAGAGGACTCCAGATGAAAAATAAGTCGTATTACTTCACTTTACTAGGTTACTAAGGTTAAATTCTCCGTAAATTACTATACATAACCATTGTAAAAGTTCAAAATTATATACGATACCTACAGATACACGTGAAGCTGAACGCCATTACAGTCTTCTATTTTTCTGTATCTTCGCCAAATTGGATACATCAGCAGTGTTTTGCAGCTTGCCCTATCAATATTATACTGGTTATACACTGGGAACGATTGAATACTGTGTGTGGCGGTCATGTACCATCACGCAGGATGGGGGTTCATGCAACGTGTTGAAATCTGTCGGCTTGAGCTGGGAGACTTCAGTGGGGGAAATGAGGATATATTCAGGTATTCCATTAAGAGCTTATCAGCTACGGGAGCTTCAAAGGTTTCCTTCCGACATTGCTGGAGTTGAGTTCGGAATGTGGGTGTTTAAAAGCAACGATCTCTTGTTCTCGTAAATTGAAGGGATAAGTGGTGGAGAGACATAGACTCACCCTCCACTGAGGCTCAGATGGATGGTCCTCACCCTCCACTGAGGCTCAGATGGATGGTCATGCGATAACTAGAACAGATGAAGTTACTTCTGAAGGACTTCAAAACTGCATTTCTATAAAGTACAGTAGAGTAATTGATATGAACTGATATGTAACTGGTATGTATAGAAAGCCCCTTTGTATGCAAAGCATTTCTGGGCACTGATATGAATATTGATAGGGGTTTAAAATACAAATAAAAAAATACTTTTCATTTCTCAAATTTATGTCCCAGAAGCGCATCCTCCAGAAATATATAATTGATTATTTCTGATCAATAACTCCAGAGCGTGTATAACAAGTATTGTGCTGTTCAGAACTCAGTAGGGGCGTTTAATTGTTACTGTTTGTCGTAAGGGGAAGAGGGATATTACACCTCCAGCCCCCTGGAATATGCTTGAACACACACACACACACACACACACACACACACACACACACACACACACACACACACACACACACACACACACACACACACACACGAGGGAATCAAACAATGGCTATGCACAAATAGCGTGAGGTTTAGCGTATTTCCCAATGAAATTTAGGAAGTGTAGGAGACGAAACCAAACCTGGTGGAGGAAGAAGGGGTGGCCAGGCAGGGTGGAGGAAGCATGGGTGGTCCAGGCAGGGTGGAGGAAGCAGGGGTGGCCAGGCAGGGGGGGGGGCGCAGGGGGGGGGGGGGTGGAGGAAGCAGGGGTGGTCAGGCAGGGTGGAGGAAGCAGGGGTGGCCAGGCAAGGTGGAGGAAGCGGGGGTGGCCAGGCAGGGTGGAGGAAGTAGGGGTGGCCAGGCAGGGTGGAGGAAGAAGGGGTGGCCAGGCAGGGTGGAGGAAACAGGGGTAGCTTGGCAGAGTGGAGGAAGCAGGGGTGGCCTGACGAGGTGGCCAGGTACGGGTAGCTAAACAGAGCGGAAGTGGGAAGGGTGGTCAGACAGGGTGGCCATGTAGGGTAGCCTGGCAGGATAGCCAGACAGGGTGGCAAGGTAGGGGTGGCCAAGCAGAATGGTGCAATATGTCAATGTATTATATGACTCACTCTACCACACGGCACGCTACGATATGACACATTCTATATGACAGCCTAACATACTACATGACACTGCCTAATATATATATATACCCAGTCTAACATATATGACACAGCGTAACATATATGACACGGCATAACATGTATGACACAGCATAACATATATGACACGGCATAACATATATGACACAGCATAACATATATGACACGACATAACATATATGACACGACGTAACATAAATGACAGGACATAACATATATGACACAGCCTAACATATATGACACAGCCTAACATTTATAACATGGCCTAAAATATATAACACATATGGTACTGTTTAAAGAGTATTTTTCAAACGTATGACATGACATAATATAGGTCACTAAAATTTTTATTAGCCTAACAGAGAACACGTACTGTGATTATATGTCGTGCCGAATAAGTAAAACTTACGATTTTTGCTTAAATAGCAACACTCTTCTTGCCGAATAAGGCAAGCGAAAATTTGTGTATGCATTAATTCCGCAAAAAAAATCGTTCTGAACCTAACGGAAAAAAATATATTTCATTGTAATTGTTTATAATTTTCTGAAATTTTTCTAAAAAATTATTTTTCTAGGCTAAATTTAAATTTTTTTTGTTAAATATGGTTTTGGTAATTTTTTTTAAGGTTCTTTTGGGACAAAAATTTTTATTTTTTTCATTAAAAAATAAAAAAAGTAAAATCTTTAAACGACAAGACAAAATTTTAAAAAACTTAAAATTTTAAAAGATTTTGCTAATTTACTAATTTCCTATTCGGGACGACAATATATATATATAAATAATATAAATTTTATATAATATTTTAATTAAAATAAAAATTTTTTTTTTTTTATAATTTTTTTTTTTTTTAAAACCTAAAGCACGTCCTAAATATATGAAACTGTCAGTATATATGACTCAGTTTAAGGTAGGTGAGGAGACAGCAAAATGCAAAATGGAAGTATATTACAAAAATTTGTATATACTCCCATTCGAAAGCAAATGTTATATCATGGAACGCGAGAGGTAGGAAGTAACAAATATTGAAGAAGAGTATGGTAGCAACATTGGCACACACTGGTGCACACTTATTCACCGAGTACCTAGAACCACATCCCTCCTCTATATTTCTCTGCGCCATTTATCTAATGACGAGTGGTAGCTCCCCCCCTCCCCTCTTTTTCTCTCTCACTCTCTCTCTCTCTCCTCTCTCTCTCCCCTCTCCTCCTCCTCTCCTCTCCTCACTCTCTCTCTTCCTCTCTCTCCTCTCACTCTCTCCTCCTCTCTCCCTCTCTCTCTCACCTCTCCTCTCTCTCTCCTCTCCCTCTCTCCTCCTCTCTCCTCACTCTCTCCTCTCTTCCCTCCTCTCTCTCCTCTCTCTCCTCTCTCACTCCTCTCTCTCACTATCAACTATGCTGACATCACTCCCTCTCTCTCACTCTCACCCCTCTTTCTCTCTCTCAGAAATTCAAGCAGGACAGAGCCCAGCCACCACTGCAAGATAAGATTCAGCATCGATCCCGTGTTCCTGCTGAGAGAGAGTAAGAGAGAAAGGACGAGAATTGTGAAGTGAAAGAGGGAGAGAGAGAGAGAGAGAGAGAGAGAGAGAGAGAGAGAGAGAGAGAGAGAGAGAGAGAGAGAGAGAGAGACAGAAAGACAGACAGACAGACAGAGACAGAGAGGGGGGGGGAAGATCAAGGGAGTGAGAGAGCGGTATGCAAGAGAGCAAACTTATATATTTGTGAATCTGTGTGTGTGTTTGTGTGTACTCGCCTAGCTACACTCACCTAGTTGTGGTTGCAGGGGTCGATTCACATCTCCTAGCTCCCGCCTCTTCACTGGTCGCTACTAGGCCACACTTCCTGCTCCATGAGCTTTATCATACCTCTACCTAAACCTATGTATGGATCCTGCCTCCACTATATCACTTCCCAGACTATTCCACTTTCTGACAAGTCTGTGACTGAAGAAATACTTCCTAACATCCCTGTGATTCATCTGAGTCTTCAACTTCCAATTGTGACCCCTTGTTGCTGTGTCCCATCTCTGGAACATCCTGTCTCTGTCCACCTTGTCAATACCTCCCAGTATTTGTCGTTATCATATCCCCCCTATCTCTCCTCTCCTCCACTGTCGTCAGGTTGAGTTCCCTTAACCTTTCCTCGTAGGATGCCCCTTAGCTCCGGAGCTAGTCTTGTTGCAAACCTTTGCACTTTCTCTAATTTCCGTACGTGCTTAGGTAGGTGTGGGTTCCCGACTGTGTGTGTGTGTGTGTGTGTGTGTGTGTGTGTGTGTTGTGTTGTGACCCTGTTTAACCTAGACAGGGACCAGAGAAAACTTCATTAAACCTTAAATGTGTTTAGCGAGCCACATTTTTACACAGAAGCCCATGATATAACTTGAGATGGGGACTCGGATAATATTCCGTATCTAATTCTCATTAATTTTCTCGTTCAATTATGAAGTTTAAAAACAGAAGACATTCTCCATTGATGGGTCCCCTGTTTAACAAAGGCACAGTGGCGTTCATTGAAGTTAGCATCAACATATATTAGTGAAGGGAAGGGTAAAGTTAGGTTGGGGGATGCAAGTTAAATTACTTTGAGGGAGAAAGAAAAGGAATTAGGTAAGAATTAAGAAACTGTACTAGGTTACACAGTAGTGAGAGTGAGATAGGAGAGGGAAAAGAATGAATAAATGAATTATTGGGAGGGAGAGAAAAGATAGGCTCATCGGCTTCCTCATCTGTGTAACGTGATGAGACAGTGCTGCTGGTGGATGTAAGAAAGAGTTTGGTTTCTTGTTGCGTGCTGCACGGCTTGTCAGGGGATGCTCATCACCAGCTAAATGTATCCTGGATGCAGGATGTTGCTCTTAATCAAGTGAATGTGTAATGGATGTAGAAGGACAAACACTCCTCATAAAACTGCAGGTTTCCATTGAAGGCTCTTTGACTAGACTGTTTCTGCACTGTTCTGAAGCACCCTGCGATTATTGGCTCTTGCAACAATATCTGTGCTTCGCTCTCTAATTTTCTTACATTAAAGTGAGTGTTTTGCTGCAGATCGTCCGTTTAATATCAGACAGCATTGTAGTGATACAAGGGCAATGAAATGAGTGCAGAAGCGAATCCAGGTCTTTAAAAATCCTATGATTAAAAAAAAAATCTTTTTCAAAAGCACATTTTTTCAGTATATATTCGAAATTTCTTAAACTATCGTGCTTTCATGATAACTGGTAAATATAATGAATAATTAGCCATAAACTGTAAATAAAGACAATATTTGCATATGGGGGTTATATCCCCCTTAGCCGCCGCTCCCTCCCCTCCTTGCTGCTCCACTGAATTACTACATGCCTGGCTAAGGCAACAATCTCCCTGAGTACATCTGAAAATGATTCCAGTTCATGAAAAATCGTCAATAGTTGCTGGCCACAGTTTCTTCCCTGATTTGTTCATTGAATTAACTGTGATTTCCTGCCAAGCTGCACTGACGTTATTGATGGGATCCAGAGTGTTATATTGTCTTATTCTCTCCATCAGTGTAACGAATTTCATAAAAGTTTTCTTTACATAAACTAATCCATTGATCTAATGGGTGAATCAGACGATATATATATATATATATATATATATATATATATATATATATATATATATATATATATATATATATATATATATATATATATGCCGAATAGGCAGAACTTGCGAACTTGGCTCAAATAGCAACGCTCATCTTGCCATATAGGACAAGTGAAAATTTGTGTATGCAATAATTTCGCCAAAATCATTCTGAACCTAACGAAAAAAAAATATTTGATTGTGTTTGTTTAGTACTAAATTATTGTAATCGTATTTAAAATATATTTAGTTGGGTTAGGCTAAAATAAATTGCTCTTGTTGTAATAAGGTTAGGTAAGTTTTTCTAAGATTCTTTTGGTGCAAAATTTTAAAAATTTTACATTAACATTAATGAAAAAATATATCTTTAAACGTATAAGAGAAATTTTCAGAAAGGACTTAATTTTAAATGAGTTCCTTTGCTAACTGACCAGTTTTACGTATTCGGCACGACATATATATATATATATATATATATATATATATATATATATATATATTATAATATAATATATAATATAATATATATAAATAAATATGGATTGTTGCCTTAGCCAAGCATGTAGTCATTCAGTGGAGCAGCCAAGGAGGGGAGGGAGCGGCGGCTAAGGGGAATACAACCTCCAGATGCAAATATTTTCTTTATTTACAGTTGATGGCTAATAACAAAACTGCAACTAGCCGAGGATTCGAACCCATGCCGTTTTGGCCCGCCTCATGGCGAGCGAAAATCACATGACGCTGTAACCCATAGGACCACGCGATCCTAGGTGTTTTACCTTGCTCCAAGACATACGATCGTGTGAGTGCCTCTGAGTTAATTTCATTCTAAGAGTGTATAATAAGCGTTTTATATTGGCCTGGAAACTCTCCGTATCTCAACCCAATTGAGAATCTATGGGCAATAACGGAACGCAGGATCGCGAAGTACGACTGTGCAACTGTGGAGAAGTTAATTGTTGCTGTTATAAGGACCTGGTCCCACGACGATGAACTCGTCAAAATGTGTTCAACATTGGTAGATTCTATGCCAAAGCGTTTTAGTAATGCTTATAAAAGCATAGGGTAGTCATATCCATCATTAAATTAATTATCTGTCGTCATTGACGTGTATTTTTCAAATAAGCATTAATTTTCCAAATGTCTTATTTCATCACTGTCCCAATTAATATGAACACTACTGTATGTCTAACAAGCTATGTCTAATATATGTATAGATAAGGTTGTAGAAGGTAACGCTAGTGTGTTGTGAAGAGGTGCTAGATTAAAAGATAACGAATATGATACAAATTGGTAGTTGTCACACTTGCTTTTTGGCCGATGATAATGATACCATTTGTCGGGAAATTCACACATGAAGTTGCAAAGGTTGGCGGATGAATTTGGTAGGGTATGCAAAAGAAGAAAAGGTGAACACAGGAAAGAGTAAGGTGACGAGAGCAACAAAAAATCTAGGCAATGACAAATTGATACAGATTGGAGGGAGTAAGGAGGAAGTAAAGGTGCTCAAATATTTGGTAGCGGACTTGTCGAGGGATAAATCTGTCAATGACTCTCGAAATCGTAAGACTTGCAAACTAATCACGGTACGCGTCGAGTTAGAACCCATGGCAGGTGATTCGTAAAATTCCAGGCCAGTGTGTATGCCACTGGGCCAGCTGTCTACAATAAGATTTATACAACTAGGTACATTTATACTGTAGGAAAGTTAGCCTGGGACACCCATTCCGTGGTTTGATCTGTGAAACATTAGGTGAACCACAAACTTGACGAGAAGATAAACTTAAATGGTGCTTTGAAGCATCTGTGGAGACAACGATTATCCATGGAGGCAAAAAGAGGAATATAGAGTATGAAAGTTGTATGGGTACGAGGCATTGATTTTAAATGTTGCAGGAACGAGGATGCTGGAGGCAGTGGAGATGTCATAATGGAGGTCGATGCAGAGAACTCTGAGGTCAGAGATTAGAAAGTATGGGTTATCAAAAGTATTATTCAGAGAGCTAGAAGGGGATGTTGGGGTGGTTTGAAAATTTAGAGAGAACCGAGAAATATCTGGATTACTAGGAGGGTGTAAAAAATCTGGAGTGAAGAGAAGGAAAGGTTTGAGGGAGGAGATCAAGGAGGTTTTGAGAACTAGGGGCTTGGACATCCAACTGGCTAGTGTGAGCACGTTAGATAGGAGAGGTGAAAGGTAAGTGATTTTTATGACTTAACGTGTTGTTGGAGTGCGGGAAATCAGCTAACTGGGCTTCAGTCCGGAAGATAAGGATGGATGAGGATGTTGCAGTTCGTAAGGCCATCTGAACTGTCTTATTAGAACAATTCTGGTATGACAGTGACTGAATTAATGACTATAAGTGTGTTATCCATTGTCTCTATAAATCAGTTGAGTTTTTATTGCATTATACATTAAAAATAAATTCCACATAACTAAATTATAAACAACTTTTACTGACAATATTTTGATCATAATCAATTTGTTTTGACCCTTTAACTGTCATAGATAAATTAAAAATTTCTAAATCCCAGTTGAAAATTTTCATTACTCAGGATAATTTTACAAAATTTTCAACCAGATTATAGAAAAATACAATATATTCTTTATTATTTTAGTAAAACCTTTGATCATACAATGTCGTAAGGACAAGTCGTATATTTTTAAATCCTGGATCTTAAGAGTGACACTCTTCAGACTATCAGAGGATTGACGACCTTACCGGCACCCAGGAAGGGGATTAGCAACTTCAGGAGCGGCGAGTATGGCATTGTCTTCACCCAGTCTTATTTTCTGAAGAGAAGACAAGAAATATGTTAAAGTGATACGAAAAATTCATCTATATAATAATAATAATAATAATAATAATAATAATAATAATAATAATAATAATAATGAGAGAAAAATAAATTCACGAAAAAAATTTTTGTGAGTTTTCAGTCGAGCGAGAGAACAATTGGGAGAAACTAATATACGAACCAATTTTTACTTTTTAATACAACTGAAAACATTTGCTTTATTTCCCTTCAAACTTCAGTGCGAAATATACATAAAAGTATGTAGAAGTCTACTAACAGAAAAAACCGAAATATTAAATAATTAAAAGTCAAAGATAATAAAAAGGTCAAGAAAAGTAAATTCTTATTTTATTATGATTTTGTTGGTGTTTTATTTCACTGGGAAACGCTAAATGTGTAGGGGTTATACATCAACTGGGGTATGAGATATAATCAGACGTGATTACTGAAGGAGAGATCAATTCAGATTCTTTGGCTGAAGAATACTCCAGCTTGAAGACTCTCACCTGAAGGTTGGAAAAGAAACTATGGAGCTCCGGGAGTTTCCCAGGTTGTAAAATGATGGATTGAAAGCCAGAGATTTTGCTGTGTATTTATAGACAAGAGTATATCACAAAGGGTCTACGATAGCTCAGGTACCACACACACACACACACACACACACACACACACACACACACACACACCACACACACACACACACACACACACACACACACACACACACACACACACACACACAACTACACACCTAGTAGCTATCAGTGAAGTGGCGGGGCCAGGAGCTATGTATCGACCCCTGCAACCACAAATAGGTGAGTACATATAGGCGAGTACACACGCACTCATGCACGCACACATACACAAAAAAATGAGATTGAGTTTTAGAATTGGAGACACGAAAAATGTCCTGTTTTATGAGCGACATTCCATCCAGTTTTAAAACCTTTCCATCTCCTTGCTGGTCCGCACGCACGCACGCACGCACGCACGCACGCACGCACCACGCACGCACGCACGCACGCGCGCGCGCGCGCGCACACACACACACACACACACACACACACCACACACACAACACACACACACACAACACTACACACACACAACATACAGTGGACCCTCGAATTTAGTTCTGGATTTCTGTATGCAAAACTATTTTTATTATCTATAAAATGTATTTTTTTGTAATATTTCCCATAGGAAATAATGTAAATCCAATTAAACCATTCTGAGACACCCAAGAAATATTAACAATATAAATACATTTTATAGATAAAAAAGTGTTTGCATACCAGAAAAGGCAGGACTAAATTCGAGGGTCATTGTTGTGGATAATATATAGTAGAATATAGTATATATTTTTATATATATTGATATAGATATATAGTATATAATATTATATCAGAGAATCATATATAATTTATAAGTAGAGTATTATATATAGTCATGATATTATATTATAAGAATATATAGTTAAAGTATATACACGATGTATATATATACATATATATAGTAATATACATAATAGTATAAATACATCATACACGTAATATATACACACCATACACGTACTATTATATATACACAATCACTATATTATATATCACAATACACGTATATATATATATAAATAATACTTGTATATATATATATACACATACACGAATAATATATATTAACCATAACACCAAAATATATTAACATAAATATATATTATATAAAATATTATATATACACGTATATAAATTACACCATATACACGTATATATATATATATAACACATATATATATATATATATATATATATATATATATATATATATATATATATATATATACACTGTATATATATATATATATATATATTATATTTAGTATATATTGTGTATGTGTGTGTGTGTGTGTGTACTTAATGATTTAAAAATAATGGAAGCACCAGAGTTAAGATGGTTCGCACATTACCAATTTTTAGGGACAATAGCAGGAGAGCTACAGGTTGCACGAACAGAAGTTCCGTGTAGAGGTGGGGACTCGATACACCGTCTTCTAATCACACTTTGTGAATATGCATATTTTAGCTAAAAATTGAAATATGTCAGAAAAACGCTTAAAACCGCAATGAGTCGTCGAAATATGCAAAGAAATAACGTTTCAACATTTTTTCATATGATTTTTTTTTTTTAAATATAAAAGTCCATTTGTACTAAGGTATATTTGCTGGTAATCGAGCAGAGAAACAGTGAATCAACAGGGAGGAACTATAAGATTACTTCGGAAAGCGCTAAACCCGTAGGAATTATACATCATGTAGAGATTGGGAAGTAATCAGATTCTGTGAAGAGGTCAGGTTCAATTCACTGAGTCAAGAATTCTTTACAAACATCAAGGCTCCTTCCTGGAGGGAGGTGCAACTGAAGAATTCTACAGCATTTACTACTCGACCTTGCAGAATTTTTCCTTTTAAGTAACCGTTAACATGGTCTAGTGGCTAACGCGACGGGCTGGAGTTTTGAGACTCTCTGACCGCGGGTTCAATCCCGGCCGGGGTATGGTAAGTAACCGTTAAGTTGTGAGTTAAACGAACTTGAGTCTGCTGGGAATTACCATTAACCAAATGTGATGCATTAAATATATATACATATACATATAATATATATATATATATATATATATATATATATATATATATATATATATATATGACTTCAAGAGTGTATCAGTCTGTAGTGGAAGGAAGGCGGGGTAGGGGTCGGCCTAGGAAAGGTTGGAGAGAGGGGTAAATGAGGTTTTGTGTGCGAGGGGCTTGGACTTCCAGCAGGTATGCGTGAGCGTGTTTGATAGGAGTGAATGGAGACAAATGGTTTTTAATACTTGACGTGCTGTTGGAGTGTGAGCAAAGTAACATTTATGAAGGGGTTCAGGGAAACCGGCAGGCCGGACTTGAGTCCTGGAGATGGGAAGTACAGTGCCTGCCCCTCTGAAGGAGGGTGTTAATGTTGCAGTTTAAAAACTGTAGTGTAAAGCACCCTTCTGGCAAGACAGTGATGGAGTGAATGATGGTGAAAGTTTTCTTTTTCGGGCCACCCTGCCTTGGTGGGAATCGGCCAGTGTGATAATAATAATAATAATTATATATATATATATATATATATATATATATATATATATATATATATATATATATATATATATATATATATATATAATTATATTATATATATATATTTCAGTTCTCGCTGAGGATACATGACAAAGTACTGTTTACTATTATTATTAAGTTTTATTTATATTCGAAAATAGCCAAACTGTTGTGGATCATATAGAAATAACACTGTAGTTGCTTGATACGTTTTAACCAACATTTCGATACTTCCAGCTGGTTTTTAGTCTCCTTACGCAGGTTGCAGACCCCTATTTTGTTTCCTTCCTTGCACCGGACGTCATTACCCCTCACTCCAGAAGCGATGCATGACTCGTATGGATTTAGCGCTTTCCTTTGATTTGCAGCCAGTAAGCCTACATGCCTAGCTCCCATAGATTCCCCCAGAGGGCAAGCCTGGTGGGCATGCCACTTCAGCCTGCCCGCCCCTGCCTCTCACTCGACGCCAACGCAACCTATAGTCAACAAGACCTACTCCTCTCTCCCTCGCTGGCATGGCCCCTTGGGGCCATGGGCACAAACACACTGCCTGTGTACCCACGATTTCGCAAATAAAATAAGAAGCCTCCGAAGCATTATCATTGAATCCCGCCTGCAACAACAACGACACAAATAACCATTTTCGAAAACGAATTATAACATGATGGTTATGCTGTGAAGCAAGAGTGTAGTTTTCAAACGCATAAAAAAACGCTTTTCCTGAATGCTGCCTACAACAATCGGATAACAAAATAGGTAGGCACATGTATCTGCATGGGGATCGAACCTGGGATGTGTTGATTGTGAGGCGAGTGGCCTCACCACTGAGCTACTCGTCACCCCGTGTCACAGTTAAGGTCTCAGGAAAGAGGAGGAGGACGTGGATTCTGTCACAGAAAAAAAAAATGTTAAATGAAAGAATCATATGTATTTACATATAAATGATTCAGCAACTGGATTGGTGGAGGCTCGATCCTCCGTTTGCTAAGCTCGAGAAAGTTCTGGAAGGAACGCCACTCTCCTCTGAGTGCTTGCCTGTCTAATGCAGCATTTCTTTCGTCATAAATGGTGGAGATATTTTCCCTCTCGCCTAAATTTGACACTCATGGCCAATGATGCGGAATAAATTATGGATTAGGGAATGTGAAAAGATGCCTGTGAATAGACTGACTTGCTTCATTATAATTTCTGCAATACGAAAGTGAATTGGTCACGAGAGTAGACTTTGATAATGACAGAAATTCAATAGGTTTAATGCACCGAATAACCTAATGGTTCTAGTGCTTTGTAAATAAAACAAAATAAAAGAAAAACCTATTTGTCCACCTAGAAAGAGCAATCGAGGAGAGAGTTGGACTATTGAAAAAAAAATTAATTGGGGAGAAAAAGCAGTTGCAGAATGGTCTGGTAAATTAAGTAAAGTGAGGGAGGACTCAAGCATATAACAATATTGAGAGCTTAATATGGTAGGCCATAGTTCGGGAGAACAAGGCAGTGGATATTATAGATGGAAGGGAATGTGAATAACCTCCAGGTAACCTCCAGGTGTGTAAGGGAAGGATAAGTGGAAGGGTGAGAGTCGTCATTGAGAGATAAGGATGGAGCTATGCTTGAATCACTAGTCGTGCCTCCACAGCTTCGGCCCCAGTAGCAAATTATCCTAACTTTCGTTCCCTTGTGTAACTCTTATGTAGAGTAGGGCGGATGTACCCAATTTTAACATTGAGTATTTCTCAGGGGGCTTTTTCCGTGATAGAAACCTGTATCTCTAAACTGACCAGACGCCATCCTCCCTATTCACTCCTTGTCTTGCTACCCACGAAAATACTACCCACCACCACCCAGCTCCATC